ATACACCACTCATCAATACACCACTCATCAATACACCACTCATCAATACACCACTCATCATACACCGCTCATCATACACCACTCACAACTGGGTTTCCGTCGGGCCAGGACTGGCCCAGAAACCGTCGTGCAGCCAGATCACGGAGCGAAAGCCAACCAAAGGTTGCAAATACGCGTAAGCAGCCCATGTGAGGTGTTGCTCTAAATGTTCGTAGAAACGAAAGGGGGTTGCACGATTCCTCTCTATAGTCCGTTGTGGGCACCAGTCAGGTGGGTTATCTATAACGTACCGGCTCGCAGCATGCAGTTCATGTGCAAACCTGACTAGTTGCGCAGGCAGGTGGTTACGCAAGTGCAGGAGTTGGCGTTGCATGTATGTGACTGCTTCTTGTGGTGTGCTGCTGTTAATGATGACTAATGGCCATCTTTTGACGAGAGTGTCAATGAGTGTGGGATCGTCGGCTGTCTCGGGCACATCGAAAGTGCTGCGGAGCCATTCACGCACAACCCGGACTGGCTGCAATGAGAGGTGGACGCCTGCGGCAGCACAGTATCGCCTTGTGAGCTCATAGTGCGCTCCACACCACTCATCATACACCACTTATCATACACCACTCATCATACACCACTCATCATACACCACCCAACATACACCGCTCATCACCCAGTTAGCTCTAGTTTCAATAGCTCTAGCTCCAGTTTACCTGGCAGGCGCAGCACTTTGTGAACCTCCATGTGCAGATTTCGTGGCAGGCACAGCACTTTGTGAACCTCCATGTGCAGAGTTCGTGGCAGGCAGAGCACTTTCTGAACCCCGATGTGCAGATTACGTGGCAGGCGCATTACTTTGTGAACCTCCATGTGCAGATTTCGTTGCAGGCACAGCACTTTGTGAACCTCCATGCTTCTCCGAACCTCGACAGGGAAGCTCCGCGGAGCGCTGTGTGCGAGACGGTCTCGGGTCATGGTCGGATCATGTTCGAATCGTCCCTCCATTGTGGTTAGAGTTTTCACTTGTTTCTTGAAGTGCAGATTTCGTGGCAGGCACAGCACTTTGTGTTGCCTCCATGTGCAGAGGTCGTGGCAGGCACAGCACTTTGTCAACCTCCATGTGCAGATTACGTGGCAGACGCATTACTTTGTGAACCTCCATGTGCAGATTTCGTGGCAGGCACAGCACTTAACCTCCATGCTTCTCCGAACCTCGACGGGGAAGCTCTGCGGAACGCTGTGTGCGAGACGTCATGGTCGGATCATGTTCGAATAGTCCGTCCATTGTGGTTAGAGTTTTCACTTGTTTCTTGAAGTGCAGATTTCGTGGCAGGGACAGCACTTTGTGAACCTCCATGTGCAGAGTTCGTGGCAGGCACAGCACTTTGTGAACCTCGATGTGCAGATTGCGTGGCAGGTGCAGCACTTTGTGAACCTCCATGTGCAGATTTCGTGGCAGTCACAGCATTTTGTGAACCTCCATGCTTCTCCGAACCTCGACGGGGAAGCTCCGCGGAACGCTGTGTGCGAGACGGTCTCGGGTCATGGTCGGATGTTTCTTGAAGCGCAGATTTCGTGGCAGGCACAGCACTTTGTGAACCTCCATGTGCAGAGTTCGTGGCAGGCACAGCACTTTGTGAACCTCCATGTGCAGAGTTCGTGGCAGGCACAGCACTTTGTGAACCTCGATGTGCAGATTACGTGGCAGGCGCATTACTTGGTGAACCTCCATGTGCAGATTTCGTGGCAGGCACAGCACTGTGTGAACCTCCATGCTTCTCCGAACCTCGACGGGGAAGCTCCGCGGAACGCTGTGTGCGAGACGGTCTCGGGTCATGGTCGGATCATGTTCGAATCGTCCCTCCATTGTGGTTAGAGTTTTCACTTGTACAGATTTCGTGGCAGGTGCCGCGCTTTGTGAACTTCCATGTGCAGATTTCGTGGCAGGCACAGCACTTTGTGAACCTCCATGTGCGGATTACGTAGCAGGCTCAGCACTTTGTGAACCTCCATGTGCAGATTTCGTGGCAGGCGCAGCACTTTGTGAACCTCCATGTGCAGACTTCGTGGCAGCACTTTGTGAACCTCCATGCGCAGATTTCGTGGCAGGTGCAGCACTTTGTGAACCTCCATGTGCAGATTTCGTGGCAGGTGCAGCGTCATGTGAACCTCCAAGTGCAGAGTTCGTGGCAGGCACAGCACTTTGTGAACCTCGAGGTGCAGATTTCGTGGCAGGCACAGCACTTTGTGAACCTCGAGGTGCAGATTTCGTGGCAGGCGCAGCACTTTGTCAACCTCGAGGTGCAGATTTCGTGGCAGGCGCAGCACTTTGTGAACCTCGACGTGGCAGGCGCTGCATCTGGGGAGCTGGAAGCTGAGAACTGCCGACTTTGTAGTGCAACTTTAGTGCGCGGAGTAATCTGGCGAGGTGGAGGCTGAGACCTGGCATCTTGATGAGAACTGGCGACTTTGTAGTACAACTTTAGTACGCGGAGCAAT